CCTCCCCTCCCCCCACCAGACTTACCTTGAGGGAGCTGCTCTCATGCTGCCTGGTTGCCACATGCATGTGTGCACATACATGTGGCATCCCCTGCGTGATTGCTGTCCTCCCATGCCCCCAAGATCCTTGTGGGTTGGAACTCTGCCAGCTTGCAAGGGGAAACCAACTGTTTCCTATGTTTTTCTTCTCAAAATGAAAAGATCCACATTTTCCATGGTGAATGGAAAACCCGGATCCCTGGTAATGATCATATGGAAGTTTTAATAAAAGTAAGGATGTTAACCTGTGTATTATTGTCAAGTTTCAGTGTAGCCAGTTTCATTTTACTCACCTGAAGTCTGTGCAGTTTAATTTGTATTCATGGTTCTTCATTATCTGCTTTGCTGTGAAGCAGCTAGCTAATGTGTGTTGTATTGTAGATTTGGTGTGTTCTATTAGTGCATTGAGTAATAACTATATAGACACTACCAGTCTAAACAGGAATGTTGCTTATATTCAGTTAGTTAATGATTTTAAAATGTTTAGAAGTCCTTGGGTGAATCTTGTCAGGTATCATATTTTCATATCACATTTTAATCATTCCCCAGTCGTGGTATCTTTGATTTGTTTATCATTTCTTTTCCCTCTAATTTCACCAAAATATTTATGTATATTATTTATGTTTATATATAATTTTAAAGGTACAAAAAGAGTATCCTGGAAAAAAATATTATAAATAGGATTCATTTGGATGTTATCAATAGGATTCATTTTTTTTCTTGTAGCTTTTCTTTCATTTTTTCATCTTTGTAGTTCCTAACAACACTATTTTATAAATAAGCATTTCAGAATATGAACTCAAAGAGAAAAGCAGAAACTTGGAAGAAGAACAGGAGACAGCTGGTGAGTTAATAGTTGCAGCATAAAATAGTCTTTGTACTTATAAATATGAAGTAAATTGAAGAACGTGTAGCTACATAGCAAGTGAGGGCCTAATTACTATGGTTTAGCTTTCAGTTTCACCATGAAATAAGAACAGGTATGCCAACAACTACTACACATCGGCCTCTCCACAGATAAGTCCCCCTGCTCACTTTTCGCTAGCTGTACTTGGTTCTTTTGTCCATACATCAGCCATGAGACCAGGAATTAGATCACAGGATCATAAGAAAATGAGGCTGGACATGACCTCACAAGGTCATCTGGTCCAGCCCGCTCTTTAAAGCAGAGTCATCCCTGAGTAAACTATCCCAGCCAAGTGTCTGTCTAACCTACTCTTGAAAGTGTCCAAACATTCAGATTCCATAACTTCTCTAGGTGGACTTTTTAATGGCTGTCTAAGGTCATAGTGGAAGTTCTTAATCTTCAGCCCACATTTCCCTGTTGCAGTTTGAGGCTGTTGCTCCTAGTACTGCCCCCTGCCACTACAAAGAAAAGCCCATCTCATAGATTCATAGGTGTTAGGGTCGGAAGGGACCTCAATAGATCATCGACTCTGACCCCCTGCATAAGCAGGAAAGAGGGCTGGGTTCAGATGACCCCAGCCAGATGCCCATCTAACCTCCTCTTGACGACCCCCA